TGTTAGTTTTTTGATAAATTCATACTTGAGTTGAAATTTCGTAAATTATATTGCATTACTCATTTTCAGATGAAGTATTTTGTTTTGATATTGGACAATAAACAGTTTGAATGTACGAGTGCTTTATTTGTTCAAACATGTAGTATATTAGGCTAACAACTGATCAGTAATAGCATTTCGGAACTTGGTAGCTTCAGCTTCTTAAAGTATACCAGTTACGTACGTAAAAATGACGATACCAGTTAAGGGTTAAGATTCGTTGTCAAAAAAGATCAAAAATTTTCCAAACATCTAGAAACGTTGACTATTATTTCAGACGGCTTGGGTTAGTCATAGCATAAGACTATGAGGTGTATCAAGTGCTCCAGACCCTCAGTCCAGGAATATTTACCTTGATTTAAAAATAGTTTAAATAAAATACCTAAAATGAGTAAAAACTTATAATAAGGTTTTTCACATCTGGTTGGCCTCCTTGTATAATGCCAAAATGTTCCAGATGGCGTGATAGATCTACAATTAAAAGGTTTGAAGACAATAATAGTTTATTTACGTTTTATTGTGAGCTAGACTGATGTCTACAAAGCGAGGGACCGCATTGACGAAATAATGGAGCGAGGACCTTGCCGCCGCGTGTGTCTTTGTAGGTATGGGTTGAAAGAATTTTTTTATATCGAAGCAGCCGCGCAGGCAGAAGAAAGGAGACCGTGGCTTTTATGAGGATCCCAAAGAAATTTTGTTAATCCGATTTTTGAACTGCCTTTGTCTTCATATGGCAATAGATGGTCTTCCATGGTCTACCCACCTTACTAGACAAGATAGCAGAATGACATTACAGTCGAGTTGATTCAGTAGGCTCGGGAAGTGGCTCCAACATGCTGAGAGATGTGTTTTACCAGAATTAACTCCACAGGTTGTTAAAAGAGTACCTTGCTAAACCTCAATGGAGTGATTGTTTGAGTGGTTCTAGAAAAGCTACTTTATTGGGCTTATATAATAGTTTTGGAAATATATCTGTTCCAACTGAATTCCATCATGAGTTAACAAACTCGGCTAAGAGCTTTTTTACGAAGAATGATTTTTCAAAAAATGTCACATCTTGTATCTTGACCTGAATAGGATCTGTTGGCTTTCCATCTCTGTGACCATAACCAACTGTAAAAAACTTTGTTTTATGCTTTTTAGCAATCACCATTACGATCTAGCAGACAACTAAAGACAAACATTAGCTCGATGATAATAGAATGATGTCTATCACGAAGTGGCGTCGTATTCCATCGTTCCCGACCGCATTTCTGGAAACGGCATCCACAGCGGCGGGAATGAAGGCAGTCATCGGCGCTGCCGTTGACATTAATTGTGATGCGGGATAACGGGACAAGCGGACGGGCCGACGGGGTCAAATCGACTGGAACACGGGATAATTGCTGGCCAGAAGATACTCGACTGACGGCTAGCTGGGCCATGGCCCACTTTTGCACGATAGATTGAGGGAATTTCTTCGTATTGAACAGCTTAAGGGATGTGGCTCTATACAGAGCGGGGTTGGACATATTGTATACGTCATGCGAAATGTAACAGATGGACCATTATTGCTTTAATTAGTGATACGTAATTAGCTAACTAGTCAAGTACAATTGCTTAATCAGCTATAACTATCACGATGATATCCGCTAATTACGATGCAGTCAGTACTATCACCAAGATAGACCGGAATTCAAGAGGATATTCCGATGCTAACTTAAAGTTCATATTACTAATAATTTGGTATTGTTGGAGCTGAACAACGGAAACCGTTAATAAGACGAAATGTTAATTTAACAGGTGGTAGCTAATTGAGAAAAAGGAGTAAGGTGACTTACTACCTTACGCTGAGGATCGGAGTGCACTAAGCTCAATTTACTTGGATTTTAAAATTTAGTTGTATAATCAATATTTGAAAACTGATCCAAACAAGCTCTGCTATGGCCTAATCACTTTTCAATACTCATTCTTAGGAGTGACAGATTTGAGATGTCTAAGTAAGAGTCTGACACTTGGTTGGGGTGAAGTGGAGTTGTGAACCACGTGGCAACGAAATGGAACATCTGATTATCTGGAGTTAAAGAATATCCCTGAGAATACCTGTTCATTAACTCTCTAGGATAAGAGAAATGAAATGATTACTTAAGATGAGAAAAGACCGAGTTGTCTAGCTAGAGACCGTCATTATGAACACTAATTTCAAATGTCAATTGTTCTTTGGTCTATTTTCCAACGTTACTGTAGTCTATGTTTTGTGGTCACTTGTCACTTGTTGTTTTGAGCTTGTTGTGTTATTCCTAAAAACTGGATTTTCGCAATAAAAACAAGATCTTTCTTGTGCAGAATTACACTGTCGTGTACAGTTATATCTGCACTAACCTCGAAATACGTGGTTATGCTGAGTGTACCATGTACCATCACCGATGGTGCGACTGATACACTGAAATTAAAATAAAAAAACTGCAACTGCAATTGAATATATGAATGAAGTATTGGACCGTTTCGGACCAGTGGTGTGAAAATGTCGTTGAGGAATTGAAAAGAAGTGTATGAATGTGTTGAAACGCAACACCTAACAAAATTTTGAGGGAAAAGGCTTTTTCATGTAAGAATTTGGAAGTGCAAGTTTGCAAAGGTAGGATAAACTATGAACACCCAGTAGGTGATGTTGAGTTAATATAATCACATATGGATTTTAAAAGTTGCAATAAACATGGAGAAACCTTCAGCTAAACAGAAAAATATGGATTTTACTCAGCCATCAAGCATTTTTTTTTATTTTGGCTCAGTTTTATATAATTTCATAATATTTAATAAACTGAAAACATTTCAATGGCAAGCTGTCACTTCATATTTTACAGTCTTTTGTTTTGAATACTTTGATGCTATTTGCTGCCAAAAATTTGACGGACAGATCTTGAGGCTGTTGGGTATGTTTAGTACTCGTACTCTATTGGTGCAGAATAACGGTTTGACAAATGGTGCAATCGGCCCTTGTGAGGCAAAAATTAAAGAGTGCATATTTATGGGTCCACAAGTACGGAAAATCATGAATGATGATGTATTTGACAGTGCTCTAAATGAAACTGAATTACGAGCTTGGAATGCTTTTAAATCAGTTACTGCAAATTTTCTAGGCAATGTGAAGGCGGACAATATAAAGATATTGTGAGTGAAGTAATTAATGCTTATAAAGGAATGGAATGTAACATGTCTCTAAAAATTCATTTTTTTCATTCTCATCTCGATTTTTTTCCGGAAAATTTAGGTGCGGTAAATGATGAACATGGTGAACGGTTGCACCAAGACATTTCTGCTATGGAAAAACGGTATCAAGGCGAATGGAGTGTCAATTTGCTTGCTGATTATTGCTTTACATTGTTAAGAGATACTTCAGGACCAACATTTCGCCGTGAAACATGGACAACAACATTTTGAGATTAATGTTTATTCGAGTGTTTATTAGTACTCTTACACACATATCCTTATATTTTACGAGTATAAGCAGCAACTAAAATGCCTTATTGCAAGAAAATCGTGGGTGATAGAAAAAATTGAATGCTATTTCCGGCTTTTTGGGTACGTTTTACATAATAGCCACCTTTTTTTGTCCATGTCACAAAAAAATATTTTTTTGTTCAAAAGTGTTATCAAAAAGTATCAATGACATTTTAAGAGATACCAACTTGATCAATAAATTATCGTAGCAAAAATCTAAATAGGCACACAGCTCAGCACAGAACTAAGTACCTGCTCCCGGACAGTCTACCCGGATCGCGAGGTTAGACAGATGGTCATTCATTCAGTAACGTCGCATATGAAAGGGACAAATTAATTTGGAATCTGTATAAAAGAAAAACTCTACCAAAAAACCTCTTTCGGCTATAATGTGCTTGATGTTTTGAATCTTATTCACAGCCAATTTATGTATCGCTTCCTTTCCGCAAAAAGTCCAGAAAAGATGGAATGCAATGAAGATTCCAACTTTTCTGCACAATCACAGAAAGGGGGTTACCATTAGCTTCCGGTAGCTCAGTCGGTGGCATGAAGACATCTACAGGCGTGTAGCTGTGTGTCGACCATGGCATGGCTAGAGGATAGAAGAACAAACAGAACACAAAAATTTAACAGATTTTATTTAACAAAAAAAAAGGCATTTTCATTACATTACAATTTTACAAAAATAACAAAATAAGTTTTACATCTTTGGCGCTGCCATAACGCTATCGACTTATCTTTCGCTGGTCCATTTTTACTCGACTGAAGCCAGGATGGCCAGGGGCTTGAAGGGGAGGTCCCAGTTATGAGGGGTGACCTCCATATAGTGGCTTCACAACCAGTTGTAGGCGAAGTTAAAGGCGATGGCGCTGCCAAGGTACATGCATGGGTGAAAATATTGGCCAAGGCTAGGCAAAGTGAAAGGGAAAGAGAAAGGGGATGGCCCCAATCATTTTTGTCCTATACGGACACACATTCTAGAAAATTCTAGCACATGGTGCTATATAACCTTGTGCTACTGAGAAGAAATTTCTAGCCGTTGTTCGATCGGCGGCTCAAGTGAAAAGGAAGCGCGAGGAAGATCGCAGATCAGGAACTCCGCATCAAGCGCTCCAAGCGGAAAATTTTCCAAGCAAAAAAGCTAGAGATGGGATTAATGAAATGATAATCGAGAAGTGATTTAATAAATACGATCGGACGGTGAAACCGTTACAAACATCCCATTTTATTACATCTAATTTATCATATTCATACCTATGTAATCTAACAAACTTTAATGTTCTACGAGCACCCTTTTTTATGTTTATGTGCTCCTACGTGACGCTTCCTCCATTCCGTTGGAAAGCTATAAACTCTATTGCTTTTTCGATGGTTGAGAGACTTACAAAACAGCTTGCATTGTGTCAACTGCCAAATATTTTCTTATAAAATGCACAGACGTGTCTCACCATGCTACAAAATACAACACTGTCTCTGTAGACTTACATTTGTAATAGTGAAGTAAACAATGCGGACAAACTAGACTATGCAGAAAATAGCATATTATAGCAATTTACAGTTTAGGTGACGCTTTTCAAAGCGAATTTGGGATAATGGTAGATGGCACGCGCCATTACATTACATACCTAGCTTGAAGAGTGGAGCAGGCTCTGAAAGTGCTTGCACTTCTCGTGTATGTATAGATTTTTTCACTACACAGATTATATTTCACAAAGTAGGTGGTAGACGGTCTCTGACTGTCGAACGTGGAGGTACCACCCGGCGGATCTCGTAGGCGGAGCCAGAATGTGTGCATATTGCATGCACACGTGTTCCCTCGCCAGAGTCCGTGTGGCGTTCCCCCTTTCCCCTGTATCCCCCTATAGCCCCACGGTACCCAATGGGTGTTTAGGCCTTAGGCCTTCGTGGTAGTTGGAGTATAAAAAAAAAGTATTCAATTTTACATCACAATCATGACGATTCCGACATAGCTTACAAATACCTGATATCCAACTGACACTGACGAACTCAAAACAGTGAATGCAACTAAGCGACAATTTTGTTTGGACTAGTCCATCCAAGGGGAGTAACGTGCAAGTGTTTTTTTTTGATAAAACGTTAAAAGCCTTATTAGACATCATATCGGTTATTGAGGTATTCAAGAAGGAGAACTAAATCAGCATATATACTCAAACTCAATTATTTATCAATGGTTCTAAAGTATTTATAAATCAGTTGTTAAACTCATATAACAATATTATTTATCTAGGTGATGTTTTGTTTTCATTAATTACCTGGGGAGAAAAATACTACTTCTCAGTAAGGCGTTGCGATCAATAATGGTGATTTCTGGGGTTAGTAGTGAAAGAAATTACTTATTCATTTACCACCAGGCAGTGTTCGATATAAGCTTTGGGGGAATTAAGTGTAAAGAACTCCAGCGCCCGCGTCCTGTAGATTGAAAGTATGCTCATTTCGGACAAGAACTGCCAGTATTTATTTGTTGTTAGGTAACGTTTGCAACTACTGGTACCCTGTTTTATAGTATATCATATATCACTATCTACCATCCATTTCTTTATTCGTAACTCTCTCCACCATACCAATAGAATAACGAGACGCAAAAATCGCATTATCATTCACTATAATTAGAGAAGTTGAGCCGCATCGCTACTCTTACGCCCAGCTCTGTCCTCATAGTGTCAACATACCACATTGACTAAGTAAGCATTCTAAGGTTGTCACTCAAGCTTGTTCAAAAGAAGGTGGATGTGCATGCTTTCGTCTTATTAAATCAAGCCTACACATTCATCATTTTTTGAGCTTCCTCGCCATATATCACTGCCACAGACTTTATATAGCGCTTATCTGGAGTGCGACCAACGCGGATGACATAAAATTACTTATTTATATACTGCCAGGTGGTAAAGTGTACTTCATATATAGACTTTCGGGATATTAGCTAGCACTTGTTAGTCCGTCAGCTTCCTTACGTCATAGGGCGATAGAATTATATCATGCCTTTTTTTTATAATAAGAAGAAATGGTGGGGTGATTCCTCTTTCCTTGTTTTAAATTAATTAATGAATTAATAAATTACTATAAATGAAATCTAAGGATCAGTCAAAGCAAAACAGCTGTCAAGTGTCGTGCAAATTTAGGCCCTAGCTCAATAAAGCGGAGAGTTTAAGAGCACCAGTGACTCAAGACGGATTAAGTCACAAATCCCCGAGTTGTTAGTCGGAACTTGTTTTGGCTGACCACCACACAAAGAAAAGAATTTAATAGTAATGATGAAACCTAATTAACAGTATACAGAAAACAAGATATCTAAAAACGAATCACAATATTTTGACAAAACAAGCAAGCAGCACATATGCTCCACCACTGGAATGCAAGTTAAAAGAAAATATGTTATTAAAAACTTCCTGACAATAAAATTAATAGACCATAATAACTAACCCAGCAAAACGTTTACCATGATACACCTACGGAGCCTTTACAAAGATGTTCTCAGCTCTCAAAAACTCAGGTCAAAAATCAGTGGCCAGTATTGAGCGGTGACGTAAGGAACGTCACAAGGTAGGGGCTGCTTGCCTCATTCTCAGAATTTATGTTATAAAAGAAACCTTAGAGAGAGAAAAAGATTGTTTAAAAATCTACTCTCTACTCTATGTCTGAGACAGAACTACACATTTAAAAGACTCAAACTTGAACAAAAATCCTTGTACATTCTCTTTTCCAAGAAAACTACTTTTCTTTCTCCAAGAGCGAGAAAAGATAAAAATTTACCAAAGTGATATACCCTTAGAGAGTTACCCCTTGTTCTAAAATAAGTTATGGCAGCTCAAACTTCAAAATAATGATCAAAATAATGTAAACAGCCCAAAAGACAGTGACATGTAGGCACTTCCCTATATTTGAATACGTAAAATGCCAAACAAAACCAAGAACACTCTAAGAATTTCAGTCAGCAACAATCAATGTATCAGTATCTATAAAATACCCAATTAAAATTATATGTTACCTGTTCATCAGGGTTTTTATAAAGGGGAAGAGATGGCTTCCAACAAAATCGGCTGCAAAACAGCTACAGGGCAGCTACAAAACAAAGCTGGAGGAGTGTGACTGGTGGTTCTCCACAATTGCTTTTCCACTAAAAGGAGTCAGATACTGAACAAACTTCTTCAGAACAGCCTTGGATTAACCATAACCTCTCAAGGATGTTGAGGCATAAAAAAGCGTTATGGCAAAGATTCCAAAGAAGTAGACTACAACAGGATTATGTATCTCATCGATCTTTCTCTAACATCCTTTCGAAGAACTTGAAAAACGCCAAGCGCAATTATGAGCAAAATCTTGTATTATCGAAAGATAAGAAGAAGTTGTTTAGATACTTGAGATCCACCCTGAACTCTAAGGTTTCTTCCCCACAAATCCGTGATCCCAATGGCCACCTACATACTGATGCCGAAAAATCTGCCAATCTTCTTGCCGATGCTTTCAGAAGACTTTGTGATTGAACCTGATGGTGATGGTACTCTTCCGAACTTATCCAGCCCTCATAGATGCCTAGCGACCATCTGTAGGATAGATTTTCAACCTCAGGACATTGAGAGGCACCTTACTAAACTGAAAACTTGTTCGTCCCCTGGAAAGGATGGGATTACTTCTGCCGTTATGAAGTCCTGTGCCTCAGCTCTCGCATACCCCCTGTGCATTATATTCAACTCCTCGATTCAAAATCACATCCTTCCTTCCTGTTGGCGTACTGCATCTGTGACACCTATATACAAAAAAGGAGATAAAACATCTGCGAAAAACTACCGTCCTATCAGTCTTTTGCCTATAGCTGCGAAAATAGCCGAAAAGATCGTCCAGGAACAACTTATGACATTTGCGTTCAAGAACAACCTGCTGCCTAGCAACCAACATGGTTTTATTCCTGGTAGATCAATTATCACCAACATGTTACACTGCATTGACAATTGGACCAGATCTTTAGACGCAAATGAACCGGTCGACGTAGTTTTTCTGGATTTTTCTAGAGCTTTCGATCGAGTTCCGCATAAAAGGCTCCTGCACAAGCTTGAACATCTCGGAATCAGGGGAAATTTGTTGTTATAGATTGAACTTTTTTTGTTAGACAAATCTTTCTCCGTCCGTGTTGGAGACGCCTATTCTTCTAGTCATCGTGTTACTAGTGGAGTTCCACAAGGATCTGTGCTAGGGCCAATACTTTTTCTTATTTATACAAGCGACCTTCCCACCCGACTTCATTCTATGTGTTCCATCTATGCAGATGATACTAAAGTCTATAACACTGTCATGAACTCATCTGTGCTTCAAGAAGACCTCAAGCTGATCAGAAAGTGGTCAGAACTCTGGCTCCTGCCTTTAAATCTATCGAAATGCTACGTTCTCCACCTGGGAAAGAATAATCCTAACTTAACATATAAGATTGGCAAACATACCTTAGAGACTGTTCTTCATCACACAGATCTTGGTCTGACAGTTAATGGACGGCTCACCTGGTCGGAGCACATTCAGAACATAACCTCTAAGGCAAAGCGGTTGCTATATACGATGGAAAGGTCATTTAGCGGTTGCACCGTTAGTACCTCCTCCTTTTTGTACACAACTTTCGTACGACCCCTACTGGAGTTTGCTGGTCCGGTATGGGATTCAAACCTTGTTCGCGATAGCAGCTTATTAGAGGCCGTTCAGCGTCGTGCTACACGTATGCCATATGGCACACGTAGGCCAAGTTATAAAGACCGCCTCGAGCTATATAACCTGCCTGCTTTTGCTGATAGAAGAGTACGAGGAGATCTCATCATCACTTTCAGAGCACTGCATAATTTGTTTGGTGTGGACATGTCGCATCTGTTTCGTCTGGCAACGAACAGTCTCTGAGGCCATAACTTCAAATTGCAGAAGGAAGCTTTTAGAACCTCTACTCGTCAGCGCTTCATCTCAAACCGTGTCTTCGATGCATGGAACAGTCTTCCATCTTATGTAGTGAACTCGGAATCCGTCAACAGTTTCAAAAACAATTACGATAGACACCGCAGTGCTTAACATATTGTTCCCATTCTGTATATGTCTACTTCAGAAGTGCTAAGATTGTCAAATTGCTATATTTCTTTTGTCTGTACACTATTATCTATTTTTGTGTTTGAGTTTATAGTACTTGTACTCAACTCAAATTTGTTGTTTAATAATAATAATAATAATAATAATAAGCATTGAGGGACGTAGTCCGATGGTATACAAAAGAGAACGTACCGCTGGAGGTTAAAATCCCATTAAAAATGGACGGGGTAGAACTAAACGTAACAAAATAAAAGAGTACTACTCCATAAACTGGTGCTTGAGGCGTTAATATCCCAAAATCTGGAAGTTAACGAAAAAACGACAGCACACAACCAAAATCACAGCGGAAAAGCAAAAGTAAAAAGGCGCTGGACGCGTCGGTACGCTATTATAGAAGGTATCTTGATAGTAAATCACATTTCAAAAGAAAGTAACTCGATAGTAAATCAAATTTTAACAGAAGGTATCTTGATAGGAAAGTAAACATCAAAAGATGGTTAAATGAATGGCCTTGAAGAAGGTATGCTGATAGAACGAAATGTCCCTATACTGCTAATACGTGTAAAGTCACAAGGTGGCGCGCTGGTTGCCACTGGGCATATTGTAGACAGAAACAAATCTGTCTACTAGGGACCAACAATATTTTATGAGGAAATTTCTTAGATAGAAGAAAGATTCCAATACAATATTGAGTCGCTGAGAATGACAGATATAATACGTGAGAAATTCTACAATCAATAAACTATGAAATTTACCAAACTAAAATCATCAAAAAGGGTTTGGTCTAGGAATGGGCACTCTATAATCAATAAAGAGAAATTTAAATTACTCGTAAGTGGTCAAAATAGTAAAAATAAAAGTTACGTGATTTTGGCACGTGACAATTACTTGAGCACCCGCTATCTGTAGATTAAAAGAATGGTCATCTCGGAACATAACTTTCCGTATTTGTTTGCTGCCAAATGACACCCAGTCTCATAGTACTACCAATTTATTGTTTTATGATCACTTGAAGCTTTTTCTGTGTCTCAAATTCCTACAATACACTTTATAACTACAGGTAACTCGCTTGACCATATAACAAAGAATAATACGAGCAATTGAGTATATGCCTCACAACAACTGGAGAAGTGTTTAGCTACATCGATACTCTTATCCGCAATCCCGTCTGCGTAGTCTACCTTGTCTATTATATTAAATGACATAGAAAATGCAACACCGACTAGGATTGTTGTAATTTTGAGCAAACTTGTATAAGTTTTAGGGTTACTAATTGAAATTTTAACTCGAAATTTCGCAAAATAGCTTGCCACGCCTATTTTTGGTTAATTAATAAAACACAATGATAAATACTATCTAACGGTTGGTCCAAGCGTGGCGAGCAAATTTGGGCGCTAGCTCAACAAAGCGGAGAGTATGGGGGGGGTAAGAGCGCCAACCTGACAAAGTCGATCAACTTGTTTGGAGAAATATCCTTCAGGTCTTCTGCTTGGAGTACTACGTCTCCAAGTATGTTGTACCTGATTCTGGCAATTGCAGGGCATCTGCACAATACATGCCTGACCGTTTCATCTTCCTTCATGCACAGTCTGCACTCAGCGTCTTCCGCCTGCTCATGTGGTGACGCAATTTGCAATGACCAGAGTACAGCCCTACTAGAGTTTTTAATCTTTCTGTCCATCTCTGCAAAGATTATTTGTTTAGCCGTATTGTACGCGATCCCAATCGCTGGCTCAGTGCCTGTGAAGGGTGTGCTAGCCCCACTCTTTGCCAGAGTGTCAGCGGTCTCGTATTCCTCTAGACCTGTGTGTCCTGGTATCCATATGAGACGGACTTCATTTCCCTCCTCTATGCCACCGTGAGCTTCTTTGCATTCCACACTAATTTCGATGTCGAGTACGTGGAGTCAAGTGCTTTATGTGAGGCGTGATTATCTGGTTCAACATTTGATCAGCGTATACTTCCATGAGAGGAAATATGTTTACAAGTTTTTATCAAAGTTGAATAAACAGTTCTGAGTGTCGCATTTTATACGTCACTTAGTAATTGGAATGCAGCCAATTTAAGCACACACGTAAACACCTATACTCTATACCCCCTAGAGTTAATCCGTTCAAACCGACATTGAGAAACGCCTCGGCGCTCCTATATAGCCTTGACTAATAGCTGTTCGAGTATATATGCAAAAATATGAATCATTTCTGAGACACAGCATTCTAAAGTTAGACCGCGCCACACCGTTTAAAAGAAGGTGCATACTTCCATCCCAATTAAATAGAGCGTGCACATTCACCATTTTTCAAACAACTTCTCCACTGATACCATATACATTTACCACAGATATTTGAATAAACAGTTCTGAGTGTCGCATTTTATACGTCACTTAGTAATTGGAATGCAGCCAATTTAAGCACACACGTAAACACCTATACTCTATACCCCCTAGAGTTAATCCGTTCAAACCGACATTGAGAAACGCCTCGGCGCTCCTATATAGCCTTGACTAATAGCTGTTCGAGTATATATGCAAAAATATGAATCATTTCTGAGACACAGCATTCTAAAGTTAGACCGCGCCACACCGTTTAAAAGAAGGTGCATACTTCCATCCCAATTAAATAGAGCGTGCACATTCACCATTTTTCAAACAACTTCTCCACTGATACCATATACATTTACCACAGATATTTGATAGCTATACCTAGAGGCGACCGACGTGATTTGTTGATTACTTTGAAGATTATTAACGTAAACTTGAGCTGAAGCATTATGATTAACGCTTCGTGTTTATTTTAATGTTATTATTTTGTTGTAGGTTTTGGCGCAACGGGCGTAATGGCATCAAAAAGCAGTTCAAAGTATCCTTCTTCCCCTCCTCCAAGGAGGTCCCTCTCCCCCGATCAACCCAACCCTGCGGAGCCAATCACCGAAGCACCAAGTCCTACGATGGGCAGGATAGGATGGGCGCTGAGGACCCTACTTTTATGTGAGTATACTTTACCAAATTTCATCCTTATCACATGCATTTCGTTCTCGCAATTGTACCAATTGGATGATGTGGGACATACATGACTGAAGCTGCAAAATTAATAAAAATATTCAATCATTGTCCGGGTGGGGTATAAATTATGCCATATTGTAGAGGAGGAAAAGTGGCAATGATAATGTACAATTTGTTTAAAAATCCCACTACAAATAAGATAAGGAAAAAATTCAAACGATTTCGTCTCTCTCTGGAAGCACTTTGAATTTCGAAACCTTCTAAGCAGCATTTTGTTGATTACTTAAATACGCAAATTTGCCCTCATTTGACCGACTCCGTATCACTTACCGTTTTCGAGATCCCAATGGTGAGGATCGAATTTGAAACACCCTGTTTATTATACAGAACAAAATAGAAGCGTAGCTTGTACTATAACCGTTATTCAACAAAAATAGAGAAGACCTTACTCCAGGAAATAGTTTTACCATATAACAACAAGCGATATCACGCAGTAACCAGGAATCCACGTCCCAAAATGTTCGAAAGAATCTGTACTACATAATGGCCAACGTTGGTTAACGTATTTTATCTGAAGACAGTCAACCTATTGCTATTTTCCTGGGTCAAGAAAATTATCCCATAATAAATGAGATGCCGTAACGTTATACAACGATCTGTCACAGCTGATTTCCTATTCACTATATACAATACTATCACTATATTAAGATTAGCTTATACAGGGTATTCATTTGAAAACTTCTCACCACAGATTTATCGAAAACCACTGATTAAAAGAAAAAACGCCGAGTCAAGTCAAAAGATTTGTCAAAGGGGACAACTTTTTTTTTGTCATTTTTTTGGATCATTTTAGAATAAATCCTAATACTTCATTACGAAATTTTTTTTGCTGCGACTGGTATTTCATTAGGCTCTGTACACACAGTTACTAAACTCCATAAATTTCATCCATTCAAAATTAAAATATTTCAAGAGTTAACCGAAAGTCATTTTGATAGGCGAATTCATGTAAATATACTAAGTGACATATAAATCCGAACACACAGTTTAAATGGTTTTATTTTAATAAAATTTTGTATAAGTACTTAATGAAGCATAATAAGTAAATGATAAAAATTTCAAAATGATTGCACTGCTTTAAAACCCTTTGACCTTTAATAATGTGTGGATGCACCCTGATGTGCTACGCATTCTCCAACGCGCCTAGGCATGCTTCTGATCAGGTGGTCAATGTCCTCCTGTGATATCTCATTCCAGGCAACCACCAACTCCTCTCGAAGTGCTTCTAGAGTCTGAGGAGGACGTTGCAAATTGAGCAATCTCCTACTCATCATATCCCACACGTGCTCATTTGGGGATAAGTCGGGAGATCTTGGTGGCCATGGTAACAATGAGACATCATTATGTTGAAAGAAGCCTATTGTGACTCTTGCAACATGTGGTCGGGCATTATCTTGTTGGAAAGTTGGATCTGCCAGGGTGTCAAGATAGGGTAAAAGATGGGGTTCTAGAACTTCGTGGATATAGCGCTGCGCATTCATGTTACCTCTGATGAAGATTAAAGGTGACCTGGAACCATAAGCTATAGCACCCCAAACCATAACTCCAACAGTGTGATGAACATGTCTTTCAACAAAAAACTGTGGATTCCTCCTTTCACCACGTCGCCTTCTAACCCTGGCACGACCATCGTGCATGCCTAAACAAAATCGAGACTCGTCACTAAAGACAATACTGTTCCATTCCTGATCCCAGAGAGACCGTTGTCTGCACAACTCAAGGCGATTACGTCGGTGTTCTCGAGTTAAATGGAGGACCCAGTGTGACCGGTATGAAAACAAGCCAAAACTTCTCACTCGTCGTTAAACACTTCGCTTGCCAATAGGTCTTCCGTGTTCTGTAAACCATTCATTTGCAATGGACCTGGTAGTGGAGAAACGGTCCCTTAAGGCCAATAATCTTAGGCGGCGATCTTGACGGTCTGTTGTTCTACGGCGGCGTCCAGTGCCCCTTGCTCTTTGCGTACGGCTTCTCGAAGCCATGCCTGACAACACCTAATCACAGTGTCTACACTTCTTTGCACTCTAACTGCAATTGCCCGAAAAGAAAGTCCAGCTTCCCGAAGTCCCACTATACGACCCCTATCAAACTCACTAGGTTGACGAAATCGTACAGGTCTCCGTACTCTAGGCATCGTAACCGATCGTAAAGGATGTCAAGAACCAAAATCCGCCAACGTTGATTCTTTACTGCGGCTGAAATATTCATTTTTAGAGCGTTAGTGAATTAAAAAAACAGTATAAAAACCGGAATGTCCAACTGATAAGGCTGAAAATTTTTTCACTTGTTATTTACAGTAAGGTAAATACATTCACCAACTTTTATTATAATAAAACCATTTAAACTGGGTGTTCGGACTTATATGTCACTTAGTATAATATCTGCTTTAGTGATGAATGCACATTTTATTTAATTTGATTTGTTAATAAGCATAAGTACAGGTAGAGGAGCAATGAAATCCTAATGCTTTTGTAGAAGTGCATACCCAATATCCCTAAAAAATGGTGTGGGCAGACATTTTAGGAAACCATATGATTGGGCCATTGTTTATTAATGGAAATTTGAATGGAAACATTTATTTGGATTTGTTGGAAAATACCATCAATCTGCTTATAATTGAAACCATTGAAAACCGAATCGAAGAGGATGGAAACCCTATACTTAATGAGGCTGAAATATATTTCCAGCAAGACGGCGCTCCTCCTCACTATGTTCTTCCGGTTTGGCAATGGCTAGACGACGAGATTCCAGATAAATGGATAGGGCGAAGAGGGCTATAGGCCATTCTGTAAATGGCCTGCCAGGTCTTCTGATTTGACGCCACTATACTTTTTTATGGAGCTGTTTGAAATATATTGTGTTTTCTTCCCAGCCTGAAAGTTTGGATCAACTTCGTCAACGCATCATCGGAGGCTGCCATGATATCCCACAACATGCTTTTGAAAATGTCCTTTAGGAGTTGTTTGGCTAATAACGGGCAACATTTTGAACACTTATTGAAATAAAAAGTGATATTTTCGTGTGTTTGTTTTCTGTCTGAACAAATTAAGATAAAGATTTTTCTAATTTTCTTAAAAACAAATTAACCGATTTTGAAAAATTAAACGTCAAAATAAAGGACTTCGAAAGTCCTTTCAAACAAGCTTTTACTCGATGCCCCTTGTCATTTAAAATTATTAAGGGGTGAAGTAGTTTTTGGTTAAAAAGTTGTCCCACTTGACAAATCTTTTGTCGTATCTCGGCGCTTTTTCCTTCAATCCGTGGTTTTTGGTAAATCCGTAGTTTTCAAATGAACACCCTTGTATATACAGCGCCATCTAAGAGACACCGATTTTTTTTTAATTTTTTTTAATTATATATAATGGCTGAAGTAACAGCTGTGACGAATTGGCATATGTGACGTTGCGATATCTCATTTTATCTCGGATAATTTCTTAGGTGCAGGTATATAGCATTAGGTTGACTATCTTCGGGTAGACCACTAACCATTGCAGAAAAAGGGTGTCATACATTAATTTTTGATTAGGTCAAGTCAAAACCGAATCAACACGTCTTCTAGACGACTGCATATCCTTTCCATATGAAAATTGTTTTCTCATATATTCCATTAAAATTAATTTTATATGTATAATGTTTCACACTTTCTCGCAGCACAAAATACGTGCCTGAAGGACCGCAAGGTTTCCGGTCGATTGGTAAGAAGATGTGCACCAGGGACTGAATTGGTCGACTGGCTGATAGGACTCTCTGCGAGCATTCACACGAGAGCCCAAGCTGCTGGGATGTGGCAAGCATTACTGGAAGAAGGCGTCATAGCACATGGTGAGTTGCTAACATGGAAAATACGTACTTGTTTCAAAATTGAACTCTTCTGTCTCTGCCATGTTCATCATGTATTGTACGAACATGTATCCATCTTGGGAGTAAAATTCATATATTAGATGGTGGGTGGTCTAGGCGGCGGTTCAGTATACGTAAAAACGGAACAGTTACTGCTTCTCATCCAATAAAAAACCAGACTTAAACTTTGCTACGTTCAAACAATAAAGGAATGTTAGTCACTTCTGATCATCTAACAACTATACTGGTTCCTAGATAATATTGCTTGCTATCAACCTCAAAATATGTTGCCGTTTACCTGTCAGTATCGTCGTAAAACGATAGGTGGTTTAAAAAATTAATTTCGTCCTTAGAGATGAGATAGACCACAGCGAGACTACCGCATTCTTCTGCTTCTGTTCATCGTTATGATAATGACTCTAAATAAAGGCTTGCCTATAAAAGAAACATAATGGTGACAAACTCGTTCCCTGTCAATTAATCCTCTCTCTTGTTTTCAAAAATGAGGAACACTAAAGCAATCTGGAGTTCTCTTAGGAAACTTAATATAATTAAGTCCTCTATAAATACTCTTCCAGATAGCTTCAATGACGCAGATGAAATACATTCACATTTCTCAAATATTCCGATCATAACAAGACACAAAAGCAATTAGAACTACTGAACAAATATCAAAACAATAAGTTCCCCTAGTCATTCTGTTTACAAATGGTTGCCAAAGAATCTGTTGCGAAGAGTTTCTCATTTATTAAAACTAATGCTGTAGGGGCTGATGGAATCTCACTCATTATGATAAAATACATTTTTACTTTGCTCTTAGACCATATTACATTTATCATCAATCACGCAATATCAACATCCTTTTTCCCTGATGCTTGGAAGCAGGCTATCGTCATACCTATTCCTAAAGTAGCGATTCCCACGTCTGTAACGCAACTTAGACCAGTCAACTTACTTCCCGCATTTTCGAAGCTTTTGGAACGGGAAATGAAGATACAAATATCTCAGTATATTTTCAGTAATGAATTAGTTCCATCAATGCAGTCTGGATTCAGGGAAAACCATAGTACAACAACTGCTCTAGCCAATGTCACTGATGATGTTATAAGAGGCTCTGATCAAGGAAATATCACTTATTTAGTTCTGCTGGATTACACAAAAGCTTTCGATGTGATAGACCCTGAAATTCTGCTACTTAAGCTATCTTACTATGTTTTTACTGACGCTGCAGTCAATTTGATAAGCTGCTATTTGTCAAATAGAAATCAAAAGGTCCTAACAGCTTCGAAAATGTCACAGTCAACTGCTATAAAGTTTGGTGTTCCCCAAGGTTCCATATTGGGACCTTTACTTTTCTCTGTATATATATCGGATTTTCATCAATATGTCCATAATTGCACAATCCACTATGCCGATGATACTCAAATTTTAGTTTTCAACACAAAGATTTTAAATTAGCAGAAGCATTGTTCATCGAAGACTTAACAAGGCTCACATAACTCGCATAACCTAACAATTAATCCATCTAAATCTTCAGTTATGGTTTTCGGCTCAAAAAACAAAAGAACATTGATCAAAACGGAAATTAACCTTAAAATCTATGATTACCGGCTTCCTATAATGAATGAGTGTAAAAACCTGGGACTCTGGATTGAGATAGAACTAAAATACAAAAAACACGTAAATTCGTTATGTAGTGCATTTTAAAGCAGTTTTATCCTCATAGGCAAATAATATCTACTTCAGCAAAGCTGAAACTTGGTGAAACATTAATTATATCAAAGATCAGTTATTGTGACAGTATATATGGCGCCGCTTTATCATATAGTGAACAAAGCAAATTACAGCGTATTCAGAATTCGTGCGTCAAATTTTCTTGCGGATTAAGAAAGTTTGATCATATTTCTTATAAATTTAAGGAACTTGGTATTCTGCAGATTAAAGGCATGCAAAACTTCACTTATTGACACTCACACATAAGGTCTAAGGCCCGTATCGTCAGTCGTCCCTACAATTGTAGGGCGCGTTTATGGCCTCCTTGATTGTCATACTGCTTTCTCTCCTTCAAAAATTTCTAGATTACACTTGTCCCGTGTCAGCGTCAGCGCTCTCCTATTGTGAAGATACGTTTTCTTTTTAAATTGTAGGAAATTTCAGGCTGATAAAACATGACATAACTCAAAAGCAAGCACAATTTGATGCAAATAGATGTTTGTGACATAACCTCAAAATAGAGCGCTGATACGGAGAAGTAGAAAACTATGACAATCAAGGAGGCCATAAAGGCGCCCTACAATTGTAGGGACGACTGACGATACGGGCCTTAGTGATACCCTTACATTCTAAGGCTGTCTACAAAAAATCATTCAGCTACAACGCTATTAAACTATATAATGATCTGCCTATTACATTCCAAAACTATACATTATTTAATTTTAAAAAGAGGCTTAAACTAAAACTACAAGTCGAGGTCTCATGATGAATACAAAATGCTAGAAATATGGAGTATTATTGTAATTGTTCTGTTTTTTTTTGTGTTGTTAATTATTTAGTAATTGTTGAGAATTATGGATTGGTGGAATGTTTTATTATATTTTTTTTGTTGAAAAAACGCTAATCTTAGCGACACTTCGCCTTTTTTTGTACTTTTACTTAGGTACGAAATAAAGCCCATTTATTATTATTATTATTATAATAGCTATCAGGGATTTAATCTTTGAAATGACGAAATAGAATAACTCACATTGTGGACTTTGTTCTCTTCCCTTTCTGGGAACTGTATTCCTGAACACTGGTAGAAAAGTTGCTCCCCGAGTTATTACCGAGAGAGAAAGTGTGGAAATTCGCCGTCATCCATCAGTCGCATCTTTAAAAACGTTATGAAACGTTTAATTATGTGAAGAACCTAGGTACACATCTTATCAAAAATGGTTCTTGATTGACAATTTCAAGAGTTGTCCAACTTTGGGGTCATTCTCCATGGAAAGAGAACAACGCCCGCATTCTCTCTCAGACAACTTCATGAATGTGTCCTTTTTGAGCAAAGTAATTCCACATCATAAAATGCTAACGGCAAAGGTAATGTTAGCTTCAATAGAAGCGTCCTGAGGCCCATTGGGTTTCGATGGATGGCCGAGGCTACCAAAGAGCCACTCACTTCGTCTAGTCGGAGTTCAGATCACCGAGGTCTTGATCTGGCACGAACACATCTCGTGAACAGCAACAACCTGCTATGAAAAAGCTAGGGACTTAGGGCTTAGGACTAAAAAGCAGTAGTAGTAAGTAATATTCATTCACCTTAAATGCAAAAACTATCAACATTGAAGAAAAGTTCATGAGAATCTTGTTCAGAATGACCCAAACAACTTAATCTTTATCTGGAGCGAAAAACGATTTTTTAATATTTTGTGTAAAAATTGTTCAAACAATTATTCTTAACGCACTTTTAGGCCTGGCAACATGCAGATTTGCAAAAAAAAAAGGTTTTTTAAGATTACGTAATGAAACCGGATCGGAATATCTTTCCGAGTAGATGCGGAGATACTTCCCGGACTACTATCCCTTTTCCGGACACAAAATACGGAATCACCCCTAGAGCCGCTTCTGTTTATAGCATGTTCTCCCTCTTATTGCACCGTCATGTCCAGTTAAAAGCTATTCACAGTCACCTCGGGAGCTCATTTCGCCCTATATTTTCAGCTCAATTGCACACAATTTTTGCTATTTCATGAGATGCACGACGTGAACCAAAATTAAATGAGAAGGGAGGACGTCCTAGTTTTATAGCTGATGGAGGTATACTTATCCGACATATAGTGGACTCATTTATATTTGTTATACAATGAAGTCTTGAACATATTTTTCTAATTTATCCTATCGAATGAAATTAAGAATGAATCTGGTAATCTCGTTCATAAAATTGAACGAATTAGTTAAGGTTTTGTGAATTATTTTACCAAAATTGGCAATGATTCATGTAAAAAGTCAAAAGAAAATTTGGATAACACTGCAAAATTTCCTAAAAGACAAATATAAAGTTTTATTTATCTGGAAGACGTTCCTGAAGCTGAATTGATCCAAGTAATACAATCTTTAAAAAATAGAGAATCACCTGGAATAGGCAAAATTCGAACTGAAACACTAAAACTGATCGCTACAGGTATAGCAGAAGCATTTTGTTTTATCGTAAATTAGATGTTCCGTGGTGAGCACCTTCCTACGATGTTAAAACAATCCGTCATTAAACCAATTCGTAAGTCGGGAGATGAAACAGACATGTCAAATTATTGTCCAGTTTCCCTAAAATATTTCATTGCAAAAATTGTGGAAAAAATAATTATAATTAGGATCATCAAATTACTTGATAAAAACTACAACCACTACCCAATCAGCAATTTGGATTTCGGAAGAATATATCAACACAGGTAGTCTCATCAGAAATTAGTTAGTGGATCGATAGTACTACAGGAGTATTTCTAAATTTAAAAAAGGCGCTTGACACAGTTGATCAAATTATAATAAAACCCACTTTATGCCATTTTCATCTTATCCCAAAAATTTGCCTGACTACGGAACATTAAATTGTAGCGATCATAGAAACAAACTAACCACAGATTCCGCCTTTCGGTACTTTGGACCACTGTGTGACATTCCAATTGTCGTATTATCTCCAGATCCACTAAAATCTGAAATACCTAAATTGTCTTCAGGTTTCAAACAACAAACAGTAAGCTTTGAAAGTGATGTTGGATTACTTTGTAACCTGGACTAATATCAACTGTAGTATATAGACAGGGTAGTCCGAAGACAAATGAAACATCTATTTTGTCTATTGAAATAGCAAAAGTAACGCTGGGTTGATTTTTCCCCTTAATTGGTGTCAGGTATAAAATGGTAAACAGCTACCGATATATATTTTCAAAGTAGCTATTCCATACAAACAGTGTATCATGCAAACAACCAGATATAATTAAATTTCCGATGGTAGCCATAACGCATAAAAATGAGTTACGAAACGCAACTCTATATTCACGTGCACTTTAACATGTAGTTGCCTGCCATGATAAAAGAGTGTCAGCAGTTTATGTTTTGTTGTAAAATT